GTGGTTTACTTCGGCCGGGAGATAAAAACTATGGACGGCGCCTTGACGCAAAGGGATTGGTTGTGCAGCACCTGAGCACATCGCATGCAGCTGCTGGGATCGTGGAAAAGTGGTTGTGACAACACATATGATGTCGATAGTGGTGCTGCTTGAGCACCTGGTCTCGAGTTCGGGGGTGAAAGCCTAGGTCTGACCCGAGTTGGTTATACCTGGCAATGGCGATACTTTTACATCGTTACCTTCTTGAAGGCATTGCTCAGATATGCTCGTTCAGGTTATTTAGGGTCAAAACCTAGATTCTGACCTTGGATGGTTGGATCCAGTGACGGCGGCGCTTGAGCGCCAGTCCCTTCCTGAAGGCGTTGCTGTTGAAGAATCTCGTCAGTCGTGTGATGTCATGAGATGGTTGGTGCGGATACAGTCACTGATTTAGTTTGCTGATCACCGATCTGATCGCTTTTGTGTTTCTTTATCGCCTGTGCATAGCTTTGGTCTTATTTGACTTTGCTATTTATTGGCATATTTTTTTTATATGTGTGCGTTGATGTTGGCTGTGTGCATCTTAGTTATGCAGAGACCGGGTGTGCGCTCATTATATTTGTATTCTCTTGATGCTCCATTTTAAGCCAATAAAATTTACCCTTTGTCAAAAAAAAACTTTTTTTATAAAAAGACAAGCAAATTCTAGGAGGCCCCGAATGCTTGAAGTTGCTTGTCTCTTTATTCCTTCTAAGCGAACCTCTAGAAACTCCATTCATACTTTACAGTACAAGCGGCATCTAGTTTTGCTCACGGCGTGGCATAGACAAGTGTCCTTTTACATTTGAAGAATGGTCCTGTAATAGATGGTTGGTTTTAATATATGGGTTTTGGCATTTTCGCAAGAAAGGGTTTAATTTAAGTCTTGCAGATGCAATTACTCCCAAATACACGTCATATTTATTTCTTTTGTTTGTTTTATCCTATCGAACTCACCTCCATGTATTAGATACATTCATACATGACAAAAGGTACTTACTCAAGCATATACAATCAATAATCACCAACGCCACATACAAACTTATATGGGACACCCACTACGCAGCACCCATGCTACAGGCATCTCATAGCTATTTAAGGAATCTTTATTTATGATAGTTAAGAACAATAATCCTCTAGTGCTGCAGATATAGTCCCGCTGCTTCCATGATGGCTTGTTCCAATGTGTCACAAAACGATGGGCACTCCATGTTTAGTGCTCCTTGACTTCTCTGTCTCAACAAAAATGGTGAGATGAAATGGTTAGGCCCCTGATAGCAAAAGCAACTATTTCTAATACATGTAAGTGTAGATTTTAACACAGAAGCAACACACAGAAGGACGTAGATTCATTTAAAATAGTACTCCCTCTGTTCCTAAATATAGGGTGTATAGTTTTTGGCACGGAAATTAAAAAACGCATGTGGAGGGAAAATTTCACAAGTACTGGGCGAGATTTCACTTGACTAATTGACATGAGAAAATAGAGGAGCTTGTCTGATATAAAGAAATGTAATCAAATCCCTAAAAAAAATTATCCAAATAAGTGATGCAATGCAATACACCTTATATTTTGGATTTTTTCTCAAAAATCTATACACCTTATATCAAGGAACGGAGGGAGTAGAATAATTCAAAATTTTCGGTTTTTTTTGGTGAAAGATGCTTGAGAGCGTGATGTCCGTGCCAAATTCCAGAGCATTTGGACATCTGGGTAGCTCTCAACAAAAAAAGATAAATTTGGGGTCTATAAATTTTTTTACTATTTGTGCACTGCTCGGACCTGATTTTTATTACTCAGATGTCTGAATGCTCTCATACTTGACACGAACATCACGCACTCAAGTATCTTTCACCATAATTTTGTTTAAATTTTATAGTATCTATTTTGAATTTACTATTTATAGGGTGTAGATGAGCTCGGGAGCCAAATTGGATATTCCCACAAACCAGTCAAATATTTCCTGATTATTTAAATCATGTGTGCGTGAAGAAGTCATGCATGTTTCACATATCAGGACAGTACATTAATAAAAACTCTATTGGCATGTTTTTTTCTTTTGAGTTTGAATTGGCTTGCTATTCAGTACTGCACAATAGTTACACCTATTAACATATATTTATTTGCTAAAGGCGATAAAGATAATTGTTATTTCTGAGTTGGGCCAGTATACATCATCTCGAAAATAGTTAAAGAAAAGGTATCACGGCAGACTGAAAGTACTAGAAAACGAGCATGATACTATACCTCTAGAGAACCTAAAGGGCCTCACGTATCACCTCTACAACATATGGGTGATTTACGGAGTCTCTCAAAAAAGCCTCTCTTCATGACTTATGTTTTGGAAATCTACCAAAATGCATAAAACATGCTCCTAAATTCTAAATTTCATTTTATCTAAAATAAGTCCACATTTCATGGTGTTAATAATTTGGTTTCCAAGTAGTACATAACTTCTAAAGTGATGCAAAACGTATCTTTACGATTTGGTATGACACTTTTAAGAGAAATAAATAATAACTATGTGTCATGTGTGGTGATCTATGATATGGTTATTCTTTACTTTCAACTTTGTAAAACCCATATACCGATTTTAAAAATTAATAAGGCTTCTTCAATCGTATGTTTGAAAGATGAAAGTGTAAACCCACAATGTATTTGTCAAATATCCCATGCATTTACAATATTGGTTGCACTGTTCTTGAAATAATAAATAAATATGGATTTGGTTTCTGTTCCGAAAGAAAACTGTGTGGGCTTCCTTACGTTGGTCCCTCTGATAAATGAAAATGGGATCAACCTGAAGTTGCACTAGTAGATAAAGGACATAATGTGAGACACATTAGTCCCGGTTCGATTTTGGCCCGGTACTAATGGTACCATTAGTGCCGGTTCAAATGGCTATGCATTAATGCCGGTTCATGTTGAACCTTTAGTATCGGTTCGTGCCATGAACCGATACTAAAGGGGTGGTGGCAGGCTGGCGTTAGGTCGGGGCCCCACGATCACCTTTAGTGCCGGTTTGTGGCACCAACCGGTACTAAAGGGCTAACCTTTAGTACCGGTTCGTGCCACGAACCGGGACTAAAGGGGTCTGACCTTTAGTCCCGGTTGGAGACACAAACCGGGACTATAGGGCAATTTTCAAACTCTACCCCCTCTCCCTGTGTATCGCCATTTCAGTTTTGAAAATAACAAAAGAAAATGATAAAAAATTCAAAAAATAAAATTCTTCAAGATCTAGTTATATTACTGCATCTACTAGTTAGGAAAATTAAAAAACTTAAATTTGGACATGTTTTGCAAAAAGTGTTATGAAAAAGTAAAACGGCCATAACTTTTGCATACGATGTCAGGAAAAACGTATAATATATCAAAATGTTCAGCACGAAAATCCGCATCCGATTTTGACAGCCTACAACCTGTTTGCAATTTTTTAGAATACTCAAATTCCAAAAGAAAAAAAAAGATATGCTCAAATTTTAGTTTTTTTAGTTAAATCTGGTCAAACTATGGTCAAACTACTTATTCAAGAAGTATTAATGTTACTACATAATTATTCAAGAATATTAGTGTTACTAAATAATTATTTCAATTATTTGATTTTTTTCAAATCTGGTTAAACTATGGTCAAAATGGGGTCAAACTTATTCAAAAAATATTAGTGTTACTACATAATTACTGTTTTTTAGAATAATAGTTTCAAACTCAAACGGTGAAATGTGTGACCTAATGCTCAAGCTAATCTGCTGAGGGTTAATAGGATTGAATCTTACATTTGTCAGGAAAACAACACGTGTAGACTTGGAAAGTAGGGGAATAGAACTACGAAGTTAAGCGTGCTCAGAGTGGGGGAGTGAGAGGATGGGTGACCGACCAGGAAGTTAGACGATTTGGAATGAGTGATCCACACTTGATAAGTTAAGATGGGTGATTAGAGACTAAATCATCAAATAATTCAGAAAATTGGAAATCGAAAAAAATCAAATTTTTTTCCAAAATTTTTAGAATTTTTTTTCCAAAAAAACACCTTTAGTACCGGTTGGTACCACGGCGCGAGCTCACGCCACGTGGTGGGCCTTTAGTGCCGGTTGGTGCCTAGCCGGTACTAAAGGGGGGGCCTTTAGTCTTCACTCTTTAGTGCCGGTTGCAGAACCGGCACCAAAAGCCCTTACGAACCGGTGATAAAACTCCGTTTTCTACTAGTGTTGGACAATAAAAATTATCCAACCAACTTTTACTTAGTCTTGGTCGGCAAAAAGCCTAACAGTGGCATCCATAACTATTATTGTAGAAATCCATCATGAATATCTAGACACTGCCAAGACAGTTTTTGTAAAATAAGAAACAATTAAGGTTGTTTTCTACACAAAACCAACTCAAAGCTGGGTTGTCCCTTGAGACATAATAGTCTCAATCTAGTCTTTCTGGCACCACTTTGTCAATCCTTGTCGCCGACCCTGTGAAGAGGCCCCTACTGTGGCCGCCACAGTCGCCCTAAGGGATCGATGTGGTGCAACCAATTATACCAGGTCTGGTGGGTATGCGGCAGCTCTTTCGAAGAAGATTCTATAATGCATATGCACACTGATTTTGCAACTATGGCTATTAATTTTGCAATGCCTGTGTGCGCTTCTTAAGTGTAGCGAATGTTATTTTGTGCAAACAAGGATACATACACACCTCATTGCTAGTGTGCCCTTTTGGTGTACAGCACAAATCATTTTATGTAAAGAGTATTTTGTGTGGTGCAACTAAAATGCCACATCGGCGACATGTCTCTATTTTAGTTGCTCTACACACAAAAATCGGACAAAAACGCATTCTCACGCCAGTTCGAGTAAGACTACCTTTGTGTCATCTGCATCATCTGTAAGTTTGCCATTTATTTGAAATGCTTTACATTTAGTAAGTTGTTATTCGGTTAGAAATCTATGTGTTCTGCCTGTATGACTCATTGACATGTAAGAATTCCCATATCTTATCTCTGAAGCTCAATTCCAATGACAGTGCTGACAGTCACATTGGAACGTGAAATCTGAGTACTATTGAGAAGACATCAGGGTCAGCACATAACAGATGGTTGAGCATATATAGCTCTACACAGTTGGCGAATCTCCTAGGCAGGCTTAAACAGGCTTGAGCCTGCCCTCCAGCGATGCCAATTCTTTTTAGTACTAGTTTGAAACTTCAAGGCCTAGCCCAGCCACTCAATAGCCCTTTCCAGCCCATCAATTTCCAGAGCAGAGAACCATCTCGTGCAGTTGCTCGCTCGCCTGGATTTACACTGCCCTAGCCCCTAGCCGCCGGCGGTCGCCGGACCCCTCCTTCGCGCTGCCGCCGGTCGCCGGACCTCTCCTTCGCGCCGCCGCCGCTAGCCCACCTCCCCAAATCGGCGCCCGGACTGCTCTCCCCTAATCTGGTCATTTTCCCCTCCCAAAACGGCGCCAGACTGCATCTCCATCTGACCCGTGCCCTCCCTAGCGTGGTCGTGGATTAGATGAGGGGGGGGGGCTTAGTTCATTGTTGGGCGCCTAGGCCATCCGAGCTGCTGCGCCATCGGGCTGTTGCTCGCTGCTCTACTCGACAGCTCCTGAACCTGAAGGTTGTATTCTGTACTGTAGTCTGTAGTTCTGTACTCTGTAGTTATTTGTAGCTAGCTATTTGGTTTCCTATTTGGCTACTAATTCATGCTAATGAACTAATGGTAGCTAGTTGTTAAAAGTGGTTGGTTAAACTGTACAAGTACTAGAAAAGAGAACCAATATGGCTAGCTGTGTATATAAGATTAACCTAGTACTAATCGCTATTCTTGTTTGTAGAAATGAAGAGGAAAAGAACTTTGCACAGCTGGTTTGCAAGCAATTCAAATGCTCCCCTTGTTGTTTCCGAACCCAATGCTCGTCCAGTTGATGTTGTTGTTCAACCAGCCTCTATTGAGAACATAATTCATCCTACTCCAACAAATGAGAGCACTAATCCCTCAACCGATGTCGATGAGAGCACTAATCCCCATGCAAATGAGAGTACCAATCCCCCAACTAATGAGAGCACAAACCAACCACCAAAGCATCATATACTGGAATTCCATCCAAGTCAGATTTTTGGTGATCCGGCTGATCGAATACCAATAGAAGATTATGCCCCTGAAATTCGAAGTGAAGTGAGAAGAGCTTGTTTGTTGAAACAAAGAAACAAAGCTACTGGGCATAAATTTGAAGTGGGATTGGATGGTAAAATTTGGAGATCCTTTCAACCACAATGGCTAGATAAGTTTGATTGGTTGGAATATAGTGTGAAAAAGGAGGCTGCCTTTTGTTTCCCTTGTTTTCTTTTCAAGAATCCATCACAAGCGGCTAGATTTGGCAATGATGTATTTACAGTAGATGGTTACAAGCGTTGGAAAACTGCTTTGGGAAATTTTAGGAAACATTATGGTGGTCCATCTAGTTACCACAACATTGCTGTGGGCTTATGTGTTGATTTCAGCAATCAAAGGGCCAATGTGGCTACCAAAATGCGAGTATACAATAAAGAGGTTGATATAAAATATAAAATCCGCTTGACTGCATCATTGGATTGTGCAAGGTATCTCATAGCTCAAGGGGAAGCTTTTCGTGGACATGATGAATCCTCCAATTCCGTCAACAAAGGCAATTTTAGGGAGTTCTTGGACTAGTATAAGGACAAGAATAAGGATGTGAAAGATGCATTTGATAAGGGGCAAGGCAATGCACTTATGATATGTCCAGATATTCAAAAGGACCTTGCTACATGTTGTGCATTGGAGGTAACCAAAGTCATCAAGGAAGAGCTTGGAGATAAGAATTTCTCGATACTTATTGATGAGGCTAGAGATTGCTCAATAAAGGAGCAAATGGCAACAATTTTGAGGTAATGCATATGGATTTCTGTCTTTAACTTGTAGCTTCCCAAACTTGCATAGTCATTGTTCATTTCTGTCTTTTAACTTTTATCTTCCCAAATTTACAGATTTTTAGATGATCACGGGGAGCTTCAGGAGAGATTTCTTGCTATTAAGCACATCACAGATTGTACATCTGCTGGAATTAAAGAAGCATTGGTCCATGTGTTGGAGTACCATGGCCTGCCTATTAATAGGCTACGTGGACAGGGTTACGACGGGGCTTCAAATATGAGAGGAGAATTCAACGGTTTGCAAAAGCTAATTCGTGATGAGAGTCCATATGCTTTCTTTGTTCACTGCTTTGCCCACCAGTTGCAGTTAGTGGTTGTCACAGTGGCTCAGTGTTGTCCGGTTATTGCTGATTTTTTCAACTACCTTCCCTTGATAGTGACTCAGGTGGGTTCATCTTGCAAAAGGAAGGATGCATTGCTTGCAAAGCATCAAGACAACTTGATAGAAATTATGGAAAATTGTAAGATATCATCTGGAACTGGGTTACATCAAGAAACTAACCTAGCTAGACCAGGAGCTACTCGTTGGGGCTCACATCTTAGAACCTTACTTCGTCTGTACACAATGTGGAATGCAGTGGTGGATGTGCTTGCAATTGTGGCCGACGATGCCCGGGAACACACTTCTCAAGGTGGAGCTTCAGGTTTGATCATACAGATGGAATGCTTCCAGTTTGTGTTCATCATGCTATTCTTTATAAACTTGTTGAGCATCACTAATTTGCTATCACAAGCTTTGCAAAGAAAGAAACAAGATGTTGTTGAAGCCTTGCGTTTGATCTTGGATGTGAAAGAAGCTTTGCAAAATATGAGGGATAATGGGTATGAGTCATTATGCGACCAAGCAAAAAACTTCTGTGAGGAACATGGCATTGAGGTGCCAAACATGGATGATCTTGTTGGAGCTATGCGGCAATCTGTTCGCAGCAAGAATAAGGTGACTCGACATCATTATTTCAAGGTTAGCATATTCAATGTTGCTCTTGATGCAACTCTCACCGAGATGAATCATCGATTCAATGAAATTAACACCGAGTTAGTGGATTGCATGTCTTGCCTTACTCCAACCAACAACTTCTCAAAGTTTAATGTTGACAAACTTATTCGACTTGCTGAAATTTATGCTGAGGATTTTACACAATCTGAACGGCTGTTGCTAAGAACTCAACTTCCAACATTTCTTACAAATATTAGGAGAAGTGATGAATTCAATGGATGTTCGGATGTTTCTACCCTTGCTCGGTTGATGGTTCAAACAACAAAACATAGAACTTTCCAATTGGTATATCGCCTCATCGAGTTGACGTTGATTCTTCCAGTGGCAACTTCCTCGGTCGAGCGAATTTTTTCAGCAATGAAGATCATTAAAACTGATTTACGCAATAAGATATTGGATGATTGGCTCAATGATTTAATGGTGTGCTATTGCGAGAAAAGGATATCTAAAAGTATTCCCGATGATCAAATTATGATACGATTCCAGAAAATGAAAGATCGCACTGGACATTTGCCTCGTGAGTACAATGTGATTTCTTAGAGGTATATCTCAGTTTGACAAGTGTTAGTAGTCACTTATTGATGCCATATATTGGTATACCATTATATTGCTAATACTTATGCTAATTTTGACAGATGGCTTCCAGTTGGATAATTGGGCATCTATTTCTATATATTGGTTTCTAGTTGTTCTGCAATACCATTTGTAAGCAACATTACTATCATTGTTGTTGCTTCTCTAGTCTTTTGTATTGGTGTGTGCCCAGCAGTACTCTGGAAAATTCTGAGCTAATTTGGGGTACAAGATTTCATATTTCAAAAAATTCTGGCAAATTTTGACCTTCTTTGGGCAAAAGAATTAGGAGTTAGTGGCTTTTTTTCCCACCCTGTTAACTTTGAGCCCGCCCTCGATTTTCTTCCAAGATTTGCCACTGGCTCTACAGCATGGGCACAATACAGAGTATCTGACATCAAGACTCTTCTCCTCATCGGCGTGATTGGTCGACAAAATAAATGGCAACACATTACCAACAAAACAGATATGTTTATTTATTTGTTTGCTCATTACTACTCTATATATTTTAGCTAGCTAAGGACTTTGTTGCATATGTTGGTCACAGACATTTGAAAAGATATGAACGTATTATGAAGTGCAGCGGCATTATGAGATGAATGTGGATGTGGATGTATATGTGATATGATGAATTTGCAATGGATGTTTACCATGATTTTCTTGTGGATTTGGAATGCAGGGCTAGCTGCAAACATATGTTAATTTTCAGCCCTAAAATGAAAATACAGGCATTTCTAGGGTAGAAACCGCCTATAATACCATACTATTGGATGCAATTGATCATAGAATACCCCATGCAATTCACAAGTATTGGAGGTGGTTTTTGTCTAAAAACCTCTTGCGGCAGGAAATTATCATAGAAGGTTCTAGAACTGCCTCTAATACTAGGAACTAGGAGTATTATTAGCGACTATTTCCTAGAGGCGAAACTCAAAACCGCTTGAGAGTTGTGTATTAGAGCCGCCTCTAATGTCTGTTTATATGCTTGAGGGCGGCCATTTACTCTGTTCCCCGGCGAGCCACTGCTACCCCATCATCATTTCCTGGGGAAAGGTCCCTTCAAAACCACCATTGTCTCTGGCTGAGAAGTTCCGAGGGGCATTTTGCCACATTGAATGCCCTTTATTTCACATGGACATTATGTGTACGTGGTAGTGGTCTGTGGTCAATCCTCCAAGCATGCAGGTAAGGACGGAGGCGGCGTGGGTAGGACCCTCTGGTAAATCACTTACTGTACGTACGGTAGGTTCCAAATTTCTTCTGAAGAACTGTGAATAACTTGGCAACCTTCAAATAGAACTATGACCTCTGATACATTTTAGTTGCATATAATAGTCTGGCAGATAACTAAGGTATAAAACATGGCATACAAGATACAACAAGGCATGCGTGACCATATGAGTTTACAGTTAATATCCAATATTAGAAACATGTGTGTAACTCGTAAATGCTATGTGCGTCGTGCTATGCAAAGGCTGGACGATTATATCACCTTGATGCATCAATTGAATCAAGATGTCTTTTATCAAAAAAGAAATACTGGTAAATGCTATGTGGTGGTATATGATTGTGGTGTGTGTTGTATGCATCCACCTTATGATTAGTATTAACAGAAAAAGATTTACCTGAAGATGGAGGTTATAGAACATTTTGTTCCCAAAGGTGGAGGAAGTCGATGAACTGATGAGCTGAAGTCCTTCGTTCTCCAGTACATTGATACACCTGGAAAGAGGTAGAGCTGTAGCAGCATCCGTATCTCTTGACACGCTGATCTGAACCATGATTTCCTTGTCGTTGAGGCAAGTAGCGGACACAGTTGGAGCTATGCTGCCGCTCACGCTCAGTACCCCTGGTTTGCAGTTGGCACTAGCCAGTTTTTCTTTCTTCTTCTCCAGATTCTCCACCTGTTTCTGCAGCTCGGGGATGTACTTGAGCGCTCGACACACCGTCGTCGGAATGCTCAGTTTCTTCTGCAGAACCACAAGGCAGCAAAGGCACATCAGGAACTCTTGATTCCTCTCATGCTACCTCTCCTGACACTAATATTATAGATATAGCTATAGCTTACAGTGTGGTCGGTGTCCGGGAGGAGGGAACGGAGAGAGAGGTAGAGCTCGTTGAGCTGCTTCCGGCGGTCGCGCTCGTACGCGTTGTGACTGAGCTTCTTGTGGGAGCCGGGGCCGCCGGAGCCGGAGCCTGACAATGCCGCGTTTGCCGGCCTCCCGGAGAGCTCGCGGACGATGTCGTCCTCGAGAACGTCGAGGTCCAGGTCGAGGTCAACGTCGAGATTCGGCCACGGCGGTGACGGTGGCAGCTGGCCGGAGAAGATCTGCGCCTCCAGCGGAGAGAAGCTGTTCGCGGACGGGTCCCCGTATAGGTGGTGATCCATCACAGGCAGTTGGGCAGTATTTTTGGAAGGCTGCAGATGGATCGTACTAGCTACCTAGCCTTGGCAATATTCTTTGTAGCGACCAGAAGTAGCGGCCAGTAGTAGTAGTGGAGTTTCTAAAAAAAAAGCTACTAGTAGTGGAGAAAGATATCCTGAATCCCTAATCCAATTTTTGCTGTGATGATTAAAATTGACTATCAATCATAGCCCAATGGAGTAGCCAGTTCCAAAGTCATTGGCTTATATTTATAGAGCGAGAGATGATGTAGTTTCAGTACTACAATAGACCTCCCATTATTAAGTATTTTGATTAGAGATGTCATGCAGTACTATTTTAATACTAAACCTAAATTCGAAATCCTCTTAACCAGTATGATTCTTGATCACTTGGAAGAAGAGACGGAATGGGAAAAGGACAGCTACAAAACCTCCGTTTAGCTTTCCCACAAAATCCTCTTATCACTTATAGAGACGTTTTTTCTCCATCGTACTACTAGTTATCTTTTAGTCACATATTTTATACTCAAATTTTAATGACCACAAATATTGTAGCCATGCAAAATACTAACTGCTACCGATTATGCTAAGAAATAAACTATTGTCTAGCATGTTTTTTCTTGACATCTCTATTTATGACGTGGAGGCTTATGAAAGTGATGTTTTCTTAGGGCACATACAATGGTGTCATCTTAGCAATGCCACCTAGGATGAAGTATGAGTTTGAAGGGAGAGAAACGACAATAAGTTTTATTTCTTTTATTTAAGGGTTTTCTCTTCACACTTTTCTATATTTTTAGGAGTATGCAAACATTAATTGCTAGAGATAACACTAAGAATTAATTGCTAGAGATAACCACTACTCCTCAGTCTCGGTGCATTAGGCATCTAACAGAAATCAAATAATCCTAAAACGCTAAGGCGCGAAACAGTAGTACTAGTTGAATGCATATTAATTAGACCATATCTATTAATTGGAGGACTAATCCATGCAATTTCTGCAGCACTCTATTGGGATTTGAGGGAATCTCCTAATCAATAGCACGTCTTCAGTTGAGAAAGAAATGATGTGATTGGCTTCCTCTACGATTCAATTTTTGTTCTAGCCCAATCTCTTCACGGCTAGGTTGCGATGCACCTTCTCAGATGCCTAATGCACCTAGACGGAGGGAGTATGATTCTTTTAGGAGTATGCAAACATAACAAGTGAGGGACACATACCTTCCGATGATGCGGAACACATAAAAATGTCTTATTAATTATTGCAGTAGCCCTAAACCACTATATATGATCCAACAATGCAAACAAAGCAAAGGGTTTTACATTATTCTTGATGTAAATCGTTTTGGGTGAGAAGATTTGCTGAACCAACAGTTTCATGTTTCGAGACTGTAGATGTCGATTATGTTCCACTCAAAATCCATGCCACGTGCAAAGTATCCAATTTTTTTTGGAGCATGGTTTTTTTTCACAGCACACAAAACATATGAGTTCTTCTTGGAAATTTGCATGCATGTATATATAAGACACAAACATGCACAATGTAAGCAAAACAAATCTTCTTAAATTTGAAGTATTTTTTTATGTTATTGCCTATGTGTTTTGCATTAGTTCGTGTGCTAGGCGGGATTAAAAATATGCTAAGCCGCAATAGCCTACAAAACTAGCTCCTATGTCCACATGAAAAAAGACAGATAGTCAAGGTTCAGCTGAACCATGGGTCAATAAACATTTCTTATGGTTCGTTTTTGATAAACCGGAAGAGTCTGTAGTTTATTGTTCTCCAATCTTGTACAAACTTTTTTGTGTGTACTGGCAAGTAGTTGGTACTAGCCTAGGCGGCCTCTATGGTGGCAACACACACGCTTCAACCAATCTTTATTTTGTTTTATACATATACAATATCAAATAATATTAGATGAATTGGAAATTATTGAAGTAATAACGGTATGGACTAGACCAACAGAAATATTTTGGGAAGCCAACTGTAGATTCCTTAAACAAAACCCCAAAAGAGTACGAATGGATATTTCTTGGGACCACTTCTAACGTAATAGGACCACTAGATTCTAGCCGTCCCTATATAAAATTCCAGCTTGTGATCAAGAAATCATTCTTTCAATATTTATTTCCTCACTTGTTATGTTAATTTGAATTGCTTGTGCTTTGTTCATGTGGCCACTTTTCAAACACGTAGGCCTACACCTTGTCTCAGCTGGTTTTGTAGGATAGTTATATAAATATGTGTATATCTTGTAGCACCCTTTTTAAAGTCTCAATAGGGAGCTTGAGCCGCATCTCAACTTTCATTCATGTTTCAGAAGAAAATGCTAGAAAGATATGATATGTGAACCCCCTCTTACATGATTTCAAACCCTATGATAGAAGACAGTACCATCTCTCTGTCATTCAACACCTATAGTCTAACAATTGCAATAGATTTTATAGCTGAATACAAAATTGGATATGATTCAAATTGAGAGAGTTTATGTGAATTTGTGCTGCTAAATGTGGTGAAGCGCGGTGATATCACCTTATCCGACCATTCATTGCCGATGATATCACCGCCATGATTTGTAAATTAATCAAGATAAATGTCCACCATTCATCCCCTATGCACCCATCTCATTCCTTCTCATGTGCTGTATGTGCAAATATTTTTTTCTCGGGTCTGTACATTACGCATTCAATGCATGGTTTATGTGCCAACTTTAGATTTCATGTAGTACAAGCTCGTCCTCTCGCGGCACCCTCTCTGTGCCTTCACCAACTTGCCTGGTTATTTAATTTTCTCGATCTTCCCATAAAAAACACATACCCCTTTCCAGGTGTCGGCCTAATATTCGCTTGACTCTACGTCGACATGATTGGCCAGATTCTACTCCCTCCGATTTAAAAAAATATGATGTTTTAGATATTGATGTAATTAGTTTTTCTCTTTTGCTGGAAGTAGTTCTTTCAGGTACAACTGTGATCATCAATTTCTACTATGGTAGTATAAACCCCGAAAAAATATTTACAAAAAAATTAGGAGACAAATCTAGGGCTATGATTTTAAGGTTTATAGTCTAAGTAGTATTTTTTTTCATATGGCATTCTTGTAGTCTGAGTATTTAAAATAATATATTTTGAATAAATGAAATATTATTGATTTACATGTTGCGCCAAGGCGATAGAATTTCATCAAGTTCACACCCAGCCTAAACCAACGTTAAAATGACATAGGAATTCACAACTTTAGAAATCAAACTGACGGTATATCCAAAATGCATGCCACTTATATGTGAACCAGACTGCTGAGAGATTATTTTGGTTGGAAAACCAACCTCACTAACAATGGAAATAATACCACCTAGACACTGTCCTAATGTAGTGTTAACTAATGGATACCAGTCATGAGAACAATTACATTTGCAGTCCAACAACATTGCGCCCATCAAAATGTCAATTATTTTCGTCTGCTCCCTCTCTTCTTTATAAATAGAATGGCAAAGAAGCTCAAGGCAGGCGTGGGATCAACAAGTACTTGGAACACGGACGCCAACGAAGATTTAGACTAGATTAACTTTTGCTATGTTAAAAAACTGTCATATTCGCTTTTGTTTAATGAAATATGTCAAAAATTTGTTGAATTCGGCCTGCTTTAAATAAAAAATTACAGTTTGTTCAAGTACATTTGAAATGTGTCTGGACATTTAAGGTACACGGTTGGATGGTCGTCTCATATTTATAAAGTTTGTCTAGCCTGAGTATTTTTGGTCTTCTGCGGTTTTTTTTCTAGACATTTCGAGAAAAATGAGGTACAACGACTTCGATGTGCTTTTAGTTTTATCTGAAAATTTCGTTTTCCTTGTGTCCTGAGCTGGTGTAATTTATCCAGTAAGTGGAAAAGGTGTGATGGTCATTCGTGTAAAAAATTAGTGACAACACGCCAAACAACGAAGGATTCCATTTGCACCTGCTATGGAGTATCTTAATCCCTGTGCTATACGTTTTCAAGGTACGGCAGCGTATGGGTGTGCGTGCACGTAGCGCGGGTGTCGGCATGGTGACGCCACGCGCTGTAGACGCGCGGGCACGCGCCCGCTGCGTGCCGGCTCGTGCCGCCGAGCTTTATCGCTCTTGCTGGCGCCTACACCTGCCATGCTTCATCTCTTCCAAAGTGTCTGAATTGAACGTCTTGCTACATCGCAACGAAGGTCTGATGTTAGTGCCCCTGAACTGTGAGAAATTTTGCACTAGTTGCTGGTTGTGGTGTTCCACTGTGTGCTGCTCGACTCGCAAGGCCTCTAACTATGACTAGACGAAAAGCTTGAGCTGATCAATGTTTTTAGCTTGTTATAAGATTAATGAGCTTAATGAGCAAGCAAACGAGTTTCGGGAGTAACTCCTTTAGCTTGTTAATTTCGCCAGCCTACGTAGGGGCTCAACCCACTTTGGCAATTTCCTCACCTCCATCTTCTGCCTATGACTGTTTCTTCTGCTTCTGGTTGTAGCGTGTTGCTACTATTTTTAAAGTTTAGATTATGCAAATGTGCACCAGACTTGTGTATTGCACGCACTATGAACTATTTTGAACGTCCTTGTTTAATTTATGCTTTTGTATATTTGTGATGGGGTGCTTCTATGTTGCTTATTACCTTAACGAGTACTCATGAACACTCATGATCTTAACGAGTTCATACGAACCAAGCTGAACATGAGTTTTGGCCTATTAATATTAATGAGATTAATGATAACGAGCATAAGGATAATGAGTTGAACGAGTAGCTCGGTAATCCAGCCCTACTTCTAACGGCCGCGTGGGGAAGAGGCCTTCGAGTTGCGTCTATGGAGAATTATTCAATTGGGATGTCCTCGAATCGGCCATAGAGGCCAAACGAATCAGCAACAGATGCCAAACGAATCGATCATTCATCAAAGTCGAACAGGACATGGGCATGGTGCTATGTGACCTGGCCTGCCTTAAAGGTTTGGAAATGGGTCCTGCTGCACTACTTCTA